CAGGATAAGTCGCGGTGAAGCTTGCTGTGAAGTCCTAAGTTGAATTGGTTTACAACAAAAAAATTTCGCGTTCATTTATACGGTTGGACGGTCTAATTACACCACCAGCTGTCGCACAACAGCTGTTGCATAATGACCTACGTACTTCGCGGAAAGCCACTTAATGTACGTCGTAAATTACCATGACCTTTCAAACCGAGCGGGGGAAACTCGGTGAAGCATAACAAAAATTTAATTAGGTGGGACATCATGCTGTGATGGCCCAGTGGGTGCGATCAATACATTCCCATTTAAACGGGCAGCGCCGAGAAAACTTCGCGGGCGGTCGATACGTAACAGGTGTTACATGTCTGGTTAATGGATGTTATTCACAAAGTACACGCTAACGCACCCCTACCCTCAAACCCCATCATTACTCCCCCTCTCATCCACCAACACCCCTATTGGTTTACTATTAAACATACATACAATCAAATAAACAGTGTCTTTTATTTTAAATACCATACATCAAAGAAAAGAAATATATCAAATAAATAAATAAACAAAAGTAATTAAAATCAAATTACGTAACTAGTTAATAATAATTTAACTAATTATAAAATAAAATTAAATTAAAAATAAACAAAATAAAAATAATTAAAAAGTAAACAAATAATCCAATTACGTAACTCGTTAATAAAAATTACACAATATAAACAAAGTAATTAAACAATTTAAATCAAACAAATTAAACAATTACGTAATAAAAACACATTAAAATTACGTAACTAGGTCAAAAATTAATTAAAATTTTAAAAACTCATTAAATCTAATTAAAAAACGCATTAAAATTACGTAACTAGGTCAGTGATGACGTCACAATGTGACTGATTACGTCACAAGGTCAATGATTACGTCACAAGGTCACCAAAAGGTGACTCACCCTTCACTGCTCCGCCAACGCCAGTTGGCGTAGTATTTTACTATATGTCGTTGTCCCGCCTGCGCATCCTGCTCCACCACCCTGCGGCAGCTGGCGTAGTATTTTACTATATGTCTTTGCGGCAGGCTGCGGCAGGCTGCGCATCCTGCTCCGAGTATTTTACTATATAACCTTTGCGCCTTCCCACCACCTGCTCCGCCAAAAATACTAACCAAAAGCGACCTAATATACTACTTATATATATATATATATACTAGCTGCATCCCGTGCTCCGCCACGGTAAATCTTTTTTAAATGTACCAACTTGGGAACAGAACAAAACTAAACACAACACAAACGAATGCAAAACAAACAAACGAAAAAACAAACACAACACTCATAACATAAACACAATTTAAATGCAATCATAAAGGCATATTGCTCACAGTCTATCCCGTAGCGCCAAATCGCACCCTTTCCGGTGATTTGCACAGGCCCTAAAACTTTCGATTTCCACCCCCCCCCCCCCTCGCAAATTTTTTCCAACCCAATTTGGCGCCCCCTAAGGTCGACACCCGGGGACATATGCCCCCCCCCCCCCCTCTTGCTACGCCTCTCCTATAAAACCCCTAGCTTGTCCGCAAACCGAAAGATAGAATAATAATTAGTAAACAGTATAAATAATAGGCAGTATTTAAAATATCCGTGTTTTACCTACAATATTTCACTTTATCCATACACGCATTTTTTTCCAGTACTTTAAATTTTAAAAATTTACAATAGAGTTTCAAAACTAAAACCATTGCGCACCTAATGAACGTGATGACGCATCTATAATAGTGCTGAATAGTTGATTAAAAATTATAAGTAATAAACAGTAGGGCCTACATTCAGTGAATAAAATAAATAAAAGATTGCCTTTTATCAATCCATGCTAATTATAATTTTCTAACAATAATTTCCTCTTACACATCCACATAATTTGCATTCACATTTTGCTAATTATATTATTGCAACACTAATTCCTTCTATGACGAACGTATATTTGCATTCACATTTTTTATTAGCGTGAGTTTAATGTATTTTTAAATTACCTCCTTAATCAAAATTAGAAAAGAGTTAAATTAATTTGATTTTTCTACCGTACTGTTATTATGTTATTAAAATGTATCCACTTTTTCGAGGAATATTAACGAAAACTATATTTGACATTGATCCTTTTAATATGTTTTAGCAATGTGCGTGTATTTAATATTCTCTTTACGTTATGCAAAATTGTACAAACAGTGGAAATTATAAAATAGCTCTATGCCACTATATAAACAAACCCTACTCTAATACTTATAATAAGACACTGCGGTGCACTGTAAAGCACTGCGTGGTGCGAATGTTTACTTTTATGGTTCCAAAAGCTATAGCGATGACAGAAGGAAGGAAGGACTGACACACGCTCAGCCCGCTTATATTATAGATATATATATATATATATATATATATATATATATATATATATATATATATATATAAAATACAAAAATTGTATCAATCTAAACAAATATATATATATATATATATATATATATATATATATATATATATATATATATTTGTTTAGATTGATACAATTTTTGTTTTGTCGGCCTACATGGTGTGTTTTTTTCTTATTTCTTCAGAGCGCTCCTTTCAATTTATTTTACATCATAGCGAAGTAATGACATACAGCTAGTAATTGTATATATATATATATATATATATATATATATATATATATATATATATATATATATATATATATATATATATGTATAATACACGTAGGCTATATAGAACGTGTTAAAAATTTGGCGCCCTTTTTTGCTCTTTTCGCTCCCCCTACAACGAAAACCTGGATACGCCTCTGACTCAGCACCAGTGGAGGGAGTGGGTAGACAAATTTAGCTTTTGTGTTGGTCTATAGGCGTCTATAGCCAGGTACTAAACAATAATAAGATGGAGGACTGTCCCCTGGGTGCACAGATAAGATGGAGTTTATATGAAATGGAATTATAACAATTCAAGAAAGAAAGGAACAAACGCACAGTATAAAAGTGATAGGTTCTACTTCCACATCGAAAGATTCTATGTTGTAAACACATTGTCGTGTAGTTACCCAAACCTTTGACACGTACAGCCATGAATAAATTAAAATAAATTATCCTCTCCCACGCACCACATCTTTGATCCCAGTGGTAAATACCAAATATTTAATGAGGCTCTTAGTTACAATTATATAATTAGCATAATTTGATTATGTTAACGCCGAGGCGATTCCCCGTTGGCTGTGCCAGTAACTAAAAATACTACTCGACAGCAGAGTGTCATAACTAACAATTAGACTAACACGGTGTTTTTTTTTATTATGGCTAACATATAAGTCTCTATATTAAGGTGTGGTTGAGTGATAGGCAAAAGCTGGCTAACATGTAAGCCTCTAGATCGATCAATAAGCCGTCCATCTTATCATTCACTTCTCATAGGTGTCTGGCTTTCTTTACATCAACAGGACATAAACTGTGGACAGAGAATCCTTGCAATACATTCACATATTGCGCATAGATGTAATCCTACCGAACAATCCATTCAAATGTTGATCATACTGTATTTATTACACAAAGCACTAGATCCCTTGACATGTTGTGCCCGTATTCTCATCAATGATATTTAGTGTACAAATTCGAACATAAAAAAAAATAGTTTATTGAACAGAGACAACACAATCATGTGTTAGAGTGGAGCTTAACACGTGTTGCACGTTAGCGCTTAATAACCCTAGTGTCACTTCAAAGTACGTCACGATTCTCCTTACAACAGTACCGACACATTTGCTTAAAGTATCTGTTAGTTGTGACAGTTTGTTCGCTTTATAGGCGCCTGCTTGATTACTATTACCATAATTGTTTTTAGTCAACACGTACTGTATGTAGGTCGACTGTAGCAGCGTTTACACCACAGGGTAGATGTTTATCTTGTTGTCCCGGTATAGCTCAGCATTTATTTGAAATGGTTAATTAAGCGTGTTGCTCATCAAATACCGTAACATGTGTTAGGTGTTCTAAAAAAGAGATTTAAAAACAAACAATTGATTAGTGAAAGAAACATTTATGATGATCTAACTACACCCATCACACAAACACACTATTGTTACGTTTACTAACAGTGTATGTAAATATAATTTAAAGCAAATCTATTGTAAGATTACTGGTCTAGTCGTAAATAAAATTACACTTTTAATTCTCCAAAATGGAAGATGAATATAATTACATAGATCAATATATAAATATCCGACTGTTTTATGATTTTGTGTTACAATTACTAGTAATGAGAGTTTCGTAAGAGTGAAGAAAAACGATGGTCTGATCTGTCTGTATCACATACACACTGAATGACCAGTTGGATACGATACGTTGTGAAAGATATTGTGACAGTTCAGAAATGTTTGAGTAGAAGTTAAAACATGATCTGATTAAATGCAATAACCAAGAATTTAAATTCGAATCTGGTTAATAAACAGCTTTATTGTTCAAAGTAGTCGGCAAGAAATGTTAGGTCACCAGTGTTTCTTCCAGACTTTTTTCTCCGGGGGGGCACTTGAAATTTTCGGGGGGGGGGGGGGCGGTAGACTTTCTTCGGGGGGGCGGACACTGTTAAAAGTATATATTTTCTATATAAATTATATAAATTTCATTTCGTTCGGGGGGGGGGCGGTAAAAAATTTTCGGGGGGGGCTAAGCCCCCCCGAAGAGATGCCTGGAAGAAACTCTGTAGGTCACTTACGTAATTCTGGTAAAGATTAGTAGATTGTGTGGATGGGGGGGGGGGGGGGGAATGAGTAATGCAGCTGGGAAATGTAGCTTGGGTGACCATCACCTAATATTTTGAAATGCAAAGAATATAAGTTTTTAACTATATTATAATGGCAAGGGGTTTTTTTTTTTGTTTTTTTTTAAATATTAAACACAAAATTGTGCTCGCGGGTGACGATACATAGGATAAACGAACAAAGCGTGTCTAATTTTGTAAACTGTTATAAAATATTCTGAATGTTACTCCTCACAGACCAACCCACCAGAGAAAACATGACGTTCTACGCCCTACTGGGGATGGCGGTGACCACTCTACTGTGGGCAAGGACTGACGCCCAACAGAGGCCGCTACTGGTCGGGGCCTTCAACATCAAGAGCTTCGGCCGGGCCAAGATGACCGACGAGGTCCTGGCCGGCCGCATCACGCAGATCGTCAAGCGCTATGACGTCATCGTCCTGCAGGAAGTGCGAGACACCACGGGGGAGGCGCTGTCCGAGCTGTGGACACGCCTGAACGCCACCACCCCCTGGGGCCTGGCGGTCAGTGACCCCATCGGCCGGACCAACTACAAAGAGCAGTACGCCTTCTTTTACCGGACCGGTAAGGTCAAGGTCATCTCCACCTACCAACACGACGACGAAGCACGCGATTTCTACGAGCGCGAGCCGTTTGGCGTGGAGGTTGAGTACACGTCTGCGGGTAGATCCCAGACCAGGAGGGTCGTGCTGCTGGCGCTGCACACCCGGCCACAAGACACGCCGGCAGAGCTGCAGAAACTACCCGACCTCATGCGCGCCGTCCGCAGACGGTACAGCAACGTCGACGGCGTCGTCGCCATGGGAGACTTCAACGCCGACTGCAGTTACCTGAGCAACGCCAAGAAAAGAGAGCTGGAGATCTTCAAGACCGGCGACTTCGTCAGTTTGATCCCCGACACGGCCGACACGACGGTGGCGTCCACGCACTGCGCCTACGACAGGATTATCGTGCTGGGCAGCGGGGTCGTGGCTAGAAACGCCGGGCCGTATGACTTCAAAACTGGACTGAAACTGGACGAGACGGAGGCGTATGCTATCAGTGACCACTACCCCATTGAGTTCAAACTGTTTTAGTTTTGGTGTTTGTTTTAAACGGAGGGATCTAGTCAACCAGACATCGTTAGTCAACAAACTGTTAGTGTCTATAATTTCATACACTAACATACACATATACTTTTTATAGGTTTTTAACATAAATTAATTAAGGAAGACTTCGACAGCATTATTCACATACTTTTTTTCTAATAGTATTCAGGTTCATTTTTCCAATTTCTAACTCAAAATCTAATTATTTTTATTTCACTATCATGCCCTCGTTGATCGATCTCAATTTTTTTCTACTACCTCGCATATTACCAATTTAGAAAAATCAAACTCAAGTATACAATTTTTCATAAACTTGTATAGTTGTATATCAATTACCTCGCAAGATAACAAATAAGTGACATTAATATAAGAACTCCATTCCATTAATTATCTCCCCTCTTTAATGTTTGTCTCCCTTTAATATTTCATATATCTTCTTCATGAACTCTAGCTGTCCCGTGCCCTGGTTAAGGAACTTACGTATCATTATAGGATCATCAATTATTTAACAACTTTTTAATGTAGTTTTCTCTGTTGTTTTATTGTACTTTGGCTGATGTTTATTTTATTCTACGAAACATCAAGTATATCTACGTTATAAACAGCTTTTTTAAATGTGCTGTTTCTTCTTCAAACTACCTAAACGAACAAAATAAATGAATTTGAAACATTTTTGTTTATTTTCTGTAAAATGCAACTTATAGTTTTATCTGGTTGATTACGAACTACTCGGCTATATAATTTTATTTACGATTTTTGTTATTTTAGTATGTAACTTGAAAACTACTAAAATATAACTATTTCAAAACATGTAAAATATAGAGTAATTTTAAAGTTGAATTAATAGAAAAATACTATTTGACTGGTGCAACAACCTATAATTTCTGTGAATTATGTGCAATGTTTTAATTTTAGAATAATCAAAAACATTGAAAAGAACATCATAAAAACTTAACATAACGTTTGAATTCTGAAAAAGTGCATTAACAAATAAATAAGTAAAATTAGAAACAATGCCAATTGTTTCCCTTCAATAAACAAACCAGGAAATAAATTATCTCAGTAAACAGCACACATTTACACTGAAAGGTCAAACAAACTACATGTAGATCTAGACCTAAGTGTAAACGCGTGGGAAGGCTGACAGCATTTTAATTCTTCCCACCCTCAATCCAGCGAATACAACCAGTACTCTCAATCTCAATGCTGTAACAGTACTCTAAATTTTATTACATCATAAAACAGTTATTCCCTACGCCTCTCTCCCTAGTATTTTTATATCTCGCTTTAATTAAAGACTTTAAAATATCTCTCTCGCTTACAATTCAAAATGTTTCGATCTCAGTATAGCTCAGTATGCAATTGTTCGATACAGAACGATTTTACAATTTGTAAATAATGTCTTGAAACATAACAAAACGTGCCATTTCATTATCTTTTTAAAAAAAACAATATACTTATATACTTCAAGACGAATTTTCTACAAACTTTTACATTTAATCCAACAAATTAACCAGTGGCGGAACTAGAAAAAAGGGCCACCCCGCAAAAAAAATTTTTAGGCCCCCCATATATATATATATATATATATATATATATATATATATATATATATATATATATATTTATATATATATATATATATATATATATATATATATATATATTAACAATCACAAAATACGAACTTAGGATACTCATTGCTGGCCTGTTCGGGATTTGAAAAACATCAATTTAAAGAAATTTCAACATTTTGTCATGTGTATAAGTGCATTAGTCTGTTTTGTGAAAATCAGTTGTAATTAATTTTTGATAGAGGCCCTCTTAACATTTAATCGATCAAAAAAATATAAAACATGAAAGCTTTGTATAAGTAATGGTGTCTCGTGTTATGTTTATTTTATGTTTGTTTTTTTTTTTGTATTTATATTATTAATTTTTTAAGTGTTATTGATTTAATACATTTACTTTTTATAAAATGTCGTCATTTAAAAATTACTTATAAAAAGTAATAATTAAGAGAAGTAATTGCTTTTTAATTTGTTTAGTACGAATCTATTAAAAGTAGCTTATGATTACCCTTATTTGACTATTTTAAGAATAAGGGAAATAAGTCATGGAAGTGGTTTGAACATTTGCTTATCTTTGATAAATTTAATTGTAGGAGAAAGACTCGGCTTTCACAGTGGTTTAAAAACAAAGGAAAAAAGAATATACAAGAGCGTGGGGTGGTGTCTATATAATAAAGATAATCCAACCGCAGCTACGGTAATTTTTTTAGCGCAATTTCCATACTGGGGGATTGCGATTATTAACTCGTCATTTCTGGATGGATGGATGGATGTGTATCCGCTGCTTTAAGTCGTCTTTAAGTCGTATCTCCTCCTCAACGAAGCAATATCGAGGACTAGTTCTAAAAGCAATTATGTTAAGCAAGTTCCGAGGATGAACATAGGCAAAAACAATTCCCGGAATTCCTTCCTGGATTTCCCGGAAAAGCCAAAAAAAAACTCGAATAAAATGCAGTTTTTGGCCCATATCTCGGCAACCAGACCACTTAGCGACTTGAAAAATTTACCAATCGATTCCTGCCATAATTTAGAACAATATTGCCGAAGAAAGTTATCAAAAATATCCTTTCGTTCGGTCACAATTTTTTTTTTAATTACATAAACACCTACAAACCGATCGTTCTCCTAGCTTGAACGCACACTAGCATTATACGTCTTTGTGATCACTATCTATTTTTAGATAACATGAGGAAATTGCGCTTAAATTGTCACTAGACTTTTTATTAACTTGTTTACAAAACAACCATCAAGTCAAAAATGAAAGAAAATTTACTTTTTTAACTATAAAAAATTTATTATGGTCGGCTCTGGGCCCCTAAATGGCGTGCCCCCCCCCCCCCCCCCCCCCCCCCCCCCGCATTGCGGGGTCTGGCGGCACTGTAGTTCCGTCCCTGAAATTAACACAACCAGTTGCAAGTTTGAACTTTGAACTCAACCAAAGCAAGTTAGTCAACCATCTGTTTACATTTCCCTCAACCATCTCCTCACTAGACTGAGTGGGCATTATTAGTGATTATTTTAGAGCCTGGGCACACTTAAAGCATACGTCGAAGGAAATTTAGTTTCATTAATTATTAATGGCCAAAATATAAATTGCTACTTATAAGTACTGTCAGGAATATAGGCCATATTTTCCAAAAAATATTTTTTTTTTACAAAATATGAATAAACTGTAAAATGTATTAACTAATAGCATAGCAATCATTATAACAACCATTTTTATAATTTTCACAAATAAACACAACACAAAAGTATATGTTAGTACGATTTTTACTGCATTTTCTATGGGAACACATCTTAGACCTTCTTCTGTATGTACCAAATGCAGAAAAATGTGTCAACATCTCCTACTCCCTTATTCGTTAGTGATACATTCTTGCCTGTGGTCTTTCTGGTGTGGTAACAGTCGCTGGACTATTATAGGACTATAACTGGAATAATATGCTAGTTACAACAGGCAAAATTGGAAAGAGCATTCTGTAGCGGCCCCATGTATCTTAATCTTGAAGGAAAAAAACAATTTAATGTTTTCAATTTATTGTTAAACTCATGTTTTTACTTTCTCGTATACGAGGTATAGATGATGTATTGCAATATATATATATATATATATATATATATATATATATATATATATATATATATATATATATAAGTTATAATGCGAATTAATGAAAGGTAATCCTAGTTATATATATTTTTATTTTTAATTGGCAGAAGAGTACTGGCGAGTATTTAAAAAATTTCTTCATCATCTGGAATCTAGCAACAAGACAGATAAAATTAAAATGAGATATAGATCTAGAATCTACTCTGAGATATACTATAGATAGATCTAGATCTAGATCTAAGTGGTTAAGTGCATCTAAGTTCTAGAATCTAGAAATCTAGATATTATTTATTATATTATATAATTATAATATATAGTATTATATACTAATAGTTATAATAGTAGGCCGTTCGATTCAACACTTCCGGGTTTGTCATTTTCGTGGCATCTCACGGCTCATGCGCTTACTAAAAATGGCGACCAGTTTCGCTTTCACTAAACGGTAGAGGGATAAAACTAAAAATAACGAGGCCATCGTTAATTTTAGACATCAGAACTATCCGTTTCTATTTCAGTCTGTTATTTAAGAATTCCCAGATGTACTTTTAACCTAATTTCTTTATTTGTATTTAACGAGGCCGTCGAGAGAAAGTCACGCTTACTTAGCTTGCGTTTCAAGTCGAATTAACTAAAGCAGGTGCATTCTACTTCTACAATAACTTTCTTATAAGATACAATTTGTATAACATCTTTACTATCAAATAAAAATAGAACTGTTTAATATAATTAGGGTGAAAACAATGCTTTTGAGGGTGTAAGTAATAATGCCATTTTATTATATTCTTGTTTTGTGAAAACGAGACGCGGGAAAATGTGTGCCGCGCAAGAATCCAATCATTTGGCTAGATTTATGACTGTTTTTTATGTCATTGTAACTTGGTATACTTACCCTTTATCAATTTTAAAAACATAGCATGCTGATTGTGAACAAATATAGTCATAAAACACAGAAATATAAAGTTAAAATTGCGATGTGCCACACCCCCTCAAGAAAGCATGTGTTTATTAAGCTGTTTATCTCACTTTACAACAGTAATTAAAATTAATTTTCAAATTTTTATCACTTATTGGGTAAGATTAAGCACATGTTTACCAAAAATAAAAAAAATAAAAAAAGCAAATTCTGTTTTAATGAAGGTCACGGGTGAAGTTTTTTTTTCCTTCTGTCACGTTCAGTGGAGGGTGCCACAGGCTGACCTGACTTTGGAATTTTTTTCAGTAATAATGACTTTGCACAGAAAGTTAAAATATGCTAAATTAGCTTAGTTTACTAGTGTTCTAGCTATTATTGATACATTTTTAATAAAAAAAATCATTCTGTAATTCTCATCAAAAAGCCTAATAATAGACTATAGATCTAGATCTTTATTTTATTAATATTAGGCCTAGGCCTATAATAAAATAATTATTAAATAATTATTAGGCCGTTTGGTTGCTTAGATGGCTGGGTTGACCTCTGACCCTGAAACGTCACGCGTCGTTTTCTGACGGTTTTTACGTTTATTTTAGTGATCCACGACAAATGAAAAAACTGTTAATCTCGAAAATTCTTATCATTATTTTAACACAAGATGCTAATAAAATGGATAATATGCCTTAGAATGCCAGAAAAAATCGCTAGAATTGTAGTTGTAAATAATGAAAGGATTTCTAGTGGAGCACTCTCCATATAAACTGAACCGCGGCCAAAAACGACCATATAGGGGGGAAAACGGCCCGTATAACAGTAGATTAATATATTATTGAGATATTTACCATGTATATTTACAGTATTATGGATTATCTTTACCAAAAATCCAATTACCCCGTAAGTAACCATGCGACAATTTCTCTCTGCTATTTTTAGTAACGTTGCGTCATTGTTACGCTAGTTGCCAGACAAACAACTAGTTTTTTGTTTTTTGCGGAATGAATTGTTAAGTCTAGTATTTTAATTATAATTCAATTGTAGCATGTGCGGAAAAAGTAAAATTATGGACATTATTATTGTATTAGTAATTTTATTTGTATATTGATTTTTTTCTTCTCTGTGGGCCGACAGTAGCTGCATTGAATTTAATTCGTGACCGGTGGTTAACCTCGTCAACGCTGCGTGGCCTATTCGTTTATATAACTAGTGATGCTCGTTCAGTGGTCTCTTTCAGAGCTATGCCTAATTACGAGCTATTTTTAGACTTAATTTAGACTAAATTGATCGGCCGTTAGGGCCTAGCCTTTGTCATTGCTGTGTATTTTAAACAATGCTCGTTCATCGGCCTTTTTTCTTTTGGCGATATAATCTGTTTACTGGCATTTATAGCTTTTTTTTTTCCGCTAGGCATAGATCGTAATAAAAAAATTTTTTTTACTCCAGCGTTTTCTTCTGTTAAAATTATAAGTACAGGATGAAGAGCTTGTATAGTACTTCATTCAAATTTGATTTAGATCTAGATCTATAGATCTACTCATCAAGACAAACGCTATGAAATATATACAATTATATTGGTCAAACTAATGCAAATTACTTAAAAACAACGTAATGACTATTGAATAGCCAGATTTTTAACGGAATCATTTAAGTCACTTAATCAGTGTGTGCCTGTGTTATGTTAAATGTGTCGGATTTTTAGCTAATTAATTATTATTTTTGCTTTGTTACTAATATCATTCAGCGTGTAGTAAAGCACATTGCGTTTTGACCAATAACTATTTCATAAATTAATTTTCTCAAGCAAGTATATTTTAAAATATATAGGCCTATAATTCAAATGAAACGGGTATCGATGGCTGGTTTATTATAAAGCCTATACAAATATTTAAAATTTTTAAAACCATTTGAATTTAAAATATTTAATCCTCAGTTCAATTATAAGAAGCAGGGCAGCATGGGAGAGGCAACAGGTGATTTAGATATACAGTCAGATGAATTAACAGCATTTTCATATTCTGAAGATGTGAAGCTAGAGCCATCTACAGTATTTTCATCTTCTGCTGACATAAAAACAGAATTATCAACACTTTTGACTTTCCATGATATGAAACCAAACATGGCATCGATAACTTCACAGGATTTGAAAACCGATGATACGCCAGAGTTATTATTTTCTAAAGAAACAAAAACAGAATATACATTTTCATCTTTTGATGATGTAAAACACAATATGACATTAGTAACTTCTCAAGATGTAGCAACAGGATGTACAAGATCTGAAGATATAAAATCAGAATTAGCAATGTTATCAACTAGTAAAGATATAAAATCAGAATTAGCAATGTTATCAACTCGTGAAAATATAAAACCAGATTTATGGACAAAATTTGTAGATTTTGAGGACAAACAACAAAATGGACTAGAGGAAGAGCTTAAACTTTCTGAACAAAAAACACATCTGTTTGTTGATGGTCAAGAACAGTTTTTTCAAAGCTTTAACTTGAATAAACATAAACAAGCTCAAGTAGGGGAAAAGCCTCTTGAATGTGATGTTTGCCATAAAAGGTTTTCAGACCGTTCTAGTTTAAGTAAACATAAAAAAGTTCATTCTGGAGATAAGCCTCATGAATGTGATGTTTGTCATAAAAAGTTTTCTTACAGTTCTCATTTATATACACACAAAAGAGTTCATTCAGAAGATAAACCATTTGAATGTGAAGTTTGCTATAAAAGGTTTTCAGATAGTTTTATGTTAAGTAAACATAAGAAAGTTCATTCAGAAGATAATCCAAATGTATGTGATGTTTGTCATAAAAAGTTTTCCAACAGTTCTTCTCTAAGCAAACACAAAAAAATTCATTTAGTTATTAAGCCTAATGAATGTGATGTTTGTCATAAAAAGTTTTCATACAGTTCTGCTCTAAGCAACCACAAAAAAAATCATTTTGTAGTTAAGCATTATGAATGTGATGTTTGTCATAAAAAGTTTTCCAACAGTTCAACTCTAAGCAAACACAAAAAAACTCATTTAGTAGTTAAGCCTTATGAATGCGATCTTTGTCACAAAAAGTTTTCATACAATTCTACTCTAAGCATACACAAAAAAATTCATTCAGGGGTTAAGCCTTATGAATGTGATGTTTGTCACAAAACGTTTTTACACAGTTCTAATTTTATTAGACACAAAAGAGTTCATTCAGGAGATAAACCAAATGAATGTGATGTTTGTCATAAAAAGTTTTCATACAGTTTTACTCTAAGCGAACACAAAAAAATTCATTTAGGGGTTAAGCCTTATGAATGTGATGTTTGTCACAAAACGTTTTTACACAGTTCTAATTTTAATAGACACAAAAGAGTTCATTCAGGGGATAATCCAAATGAGTGTGATGTTTGTCATAAAAAGTTTTTTTCATACAGTTCTGCTCTAAGCAAACACAAAAGAATTCATTTAGGGGTTAAGCCTTATGAATGTGATCTTTGTCACAAAAGGTTTTCAGACAGTTCTAATTTTAATAGACACAAAAGACTTCATTTAAGAGATAATCCAAATGAATGTGATGTTTGTCATAAAAAGTTTTCATACAGTTCTGCTCTAAGCAAACACAAAAAAAATCATTTAGTAGTTAAGCATTATGAATGTGATGTTTGTCATAAAAAGTTTTCAAACAGTTCTACTCTAAGGAAACACAAAATAATTCATTTAGTAGTTAAGCCTTTTGAATGTGATCTTTGTCATAAAAAGTTTTCACAAAGTTCTACTCTAAGTGTACACAAAAAAATTCATTTAGAGTTTATGCCTTATGAATGTGATCTTTGTCACAAAAGGTTTTCAGACCGTTCTAATTTTATTAGACACAAAAGAGTTCATTCAGGAGATAATCCAAATGAATGTGATGTTTGTCATAAAAAGATTTCATACAGTTCTGCTCTAAGCAAACACAAAAAAATTCATTTTGTAGTTAAAGCCTTATAAATGTGATGTTTGTCATAAAAAGTTGTCATGCAGTTCTGCTCTAAGCAAACACAAATAAAATCATTTAGTAGTTAAGCATTATGAATGTGATCTTTGTCATAAAAAGTCATTACAGACTTCTTGCTTAAGTAAGCACACAAAAAATCATACAGGAGATAAATTCTATAAATCTGATGTTGCTGATGAACATTTTACCCATAAGAGTGTATGACATTTTTTTAAATTGTTGAAGCACTAATAGAATAGACATTTTAATCCCCAATTCATTCATAATATGTATATATTAAAAATAGGATAGCATTTTTGTATATATGCAAATACAGCTAAATTAATGTTCATTGCATGCATTTAAATGAACATAAAAGATAATAGCAGACTATTATTAATAAATTATAATAGTAAAATTACCCAATTTAGACCATCCTTGTGGCTGAGCATTTATAGTTGATCTTTTTCTTTAATCTCAGTCTGAGAAGAGTAAGTGGGGCCATTGCCTAAAACAACTATCACTATCAGTTTCTGGTGCTTGACACTATCCCACTTTCTTTTCTATTTGCAAACAGTACCACCCTATACAAGTTGCAAATTAAAAGGCCTTAAAGAGACTAAAGCTGTAATGGTTATGTTTGACGTTTTGGTATTCTATTTCTAGCATAATTTATGCTTTGTTGTGTTTACATGTTTTTTTTTTTATTTTTAAAAACACTTTAATGAAAATGTTAATGTAGTCAACTGGTATGAGATTGTAACATGAAATTAAAAAATTTGTTACTAAATCTATCAATTTTTATTTAGTGTTTTACTACCAATGTCTGTATTCTAACATTAAAATTTCCAATAAGACCAATGTTTGTTGAATGCTGAGGTTTACTTGACCCTCATCTGATAATTGCATGCCTTAACATGCCAGGTATTTGAGGTCAGTGTCAGGCAACCGTGGCTTGCTCGGCATGTGATGTTAACATTTGTCTTTTCTAACAAACCCCGAGCAACCAAGTTTCTACTCTATATATTCTACTCACTATATTCTACCCCGCCTCACCAATCCAATGCGTTCAATATACCCTTCGCACCAACACGCACTCGTGCTAATCTCTATCTTAAACATACATCATAACAAGCACGACAGGATTGAGCTTTTTCATCATGTCATATACTAATTTAGTAACATGGCTCCGTAGTCTAATTGGATGATCGCTTATTGGAAAATCCAAGCACAAAGCCTGGGTCTTTAGTTGAGAAGAACCATGAGATGCTGCCCATGTATCATGGCACCTTCTCTCCGCACAGCTGAGGTGTCCAAGGGACAGGGCTTGGAATCAGCATAAAGGAAACCAGAGTTTATAATTTTATCGCCTAAGGGATTCCACTCCTGCTTGACTTTGGTGTTTTCTCTCTTAGATGGGTTGCTGTCTTCATTTGACGTACCTCATCTGCCCGAGGGTTCGAACTCGGGAGTTAAGGGTTAGCAACCATGAGCTTACCCGCCCGACCACTCTCTATCTCTGTCTATAGAAAAACTTATTTTAAATTTTCTTTCTTGTGCCTTATCTTTTATCATCAGTGCGCTCTCGTGTGCTCCTATACAGATTCAGTAGCTTGGGTTACACGAACTTGTTTGTGTTTACATTCATGTTTACTGCGGGTACAGCATCCAACTCCATCAAATGAAATACAGCAGCTTCTTTTATGATTTCTTTTTTCTTTAACAATAGCTTGATCTCTTTTGTGATCCTTTATTGAATACGCCGATCTCAACTCATCTTTTAAGTCCACCACCTTAACCCTTTAATCACGGAATTAAGAGCTGAATGAAATTTTGTCTCAAACAATGTGTTATTATATTGCTTTTGGCACACTAAAAGCATACGTCAAAGAAAATTTAGTTTCATTAATTTTTAATGGCCCAAATATATATTACTCTTAATAAGTACCGTCAGGAATGTAGGACATATTTTCCAAAATAATAAAAAAATTTACAAAATAGAAATAAACTGTAAAATGTATTAAGTATTAACTAATAACATAGCAATCATTATAACAACCATTTCTATAATTTTCACAAATAAACACAACACAAAAGTATATGTTAGTACGATTTTTTTACTGGATTTTCTATGGGAACACATCTTAGACCTTCTTCTGAATGTATCAAATGCAGAAAAATGTGTCGACATGTCCTACTCCCTTATTCGTTAGTGATACATTCTTGCCTGTGGTCTTTCTGGTGTGGTAATAGTCGCTGGACTATATACTTATATACATATAGGCTATAACTGGAATACATGCTAGATCTAGTTACAACAGGCAACATTGGAAAGACCTTTTTGTTGCGGCCCCATGTGTTTTGGGCCTTGAAGGAAAAAAACAATTTGCTGTTTTCAATTTATTTTTACTTTCTCGTATACGAGGTATAGAGGAAGTTTAAGTTAAAATGCGAATTAATAAAAGGTAATAGTTATACATATTTTTATTTTTAATTGGCAGAAGAGTACTGAAGAGTATCCAAAAACTTTCTTCATCATCTAGCAACAACAAGACAGATCAATATAATCTAGATCTAGATTCTACTTTGAGGTATACTATAGATCTAGATCTAAGTGATTAAGTGGATCTAGATTCTAGAAATCTAGATCTAAAAACTAAGCTCATTTACTCTAGCCGTCTTTAGCAGCCAAGTACAGTAATTAGGTACGTAAATTAAAAATCGCCCGCGACTAGTCTAGATCTAGAATCTAAATCTAGTTCTAGATCTAGTAATGTGAAAAACAGGTGACTCCTTCGGCCTTAGGCCTAATATTTTAATAATTATTTCACATTTTGAGGAGGATTTATGTTTTGAAAAATACATGGTAAAAATTTAGAGAAAACCCTTGATATTTCATAGTATCCGGCTGACGTCATGATGACGTCACGCGACCCGTAAACACTGCGTTTTTGGAGCTAAAAAGGGCCGAAAAAGCCATTTTTTCTACGTCAAACCACGTGAAGGCACCCGATCGACGATTTCGGTCATGCATGAGTGGTTTTCGTACGTTCTCGTGAACTAAATACCAGTTTCTTGACAACAAATTGGAAAGCGACAATTTCGTGAAAATAACGACCCTAGAGGAATGAAGATTATTAAATAAAAATCGATGCATTGGCTACATCACATGTGTTGATTCTAAAGTTGTCTATAATTGACTAGTACTAGTAGGGCATGCTGAAACAACGGCCTTAGGGCGCCGTGTAGTGTGTAGTTTCGCTAAATGTAAATTAATCAGCCCGGCCGCAGATCGACCGCAAACTGTTAAATTTGTTGAATGTGAAAAGCATACTACTTACAAATTACTTTTGAATATTCACATCACACAAAATAATCCCAAAGAAAGCACAAAATAAAATCCGTTAAAAAAGCATCACCATGAAATTTGAAAACCACAATATGTCAACCAGCCATCTTGGGCTCGATCTAGAGGTCATTCATTAGCCTACACATGAGCCTTGCCAACAAATTTAGTTTCTGATGGTACACGAGATTTAGATCAATATATTTATTAACAAACTAACTGAATTCCAACATTCTATCACTATAATCCTAAAATGAAACAGAATTTGAAGCACAATGATCTAACGAATAAATCCCACTCTAAGTAAGTGTCGCAGCTTTAATCCTGGATACAACCGTAGTGTGTAGTCATGTTGTGAGTAAACTTGCACGAGATAAAACACCGACCTAGACCTTCCTGATGCTGTGTATGGCCCCAAAGTTAAATGCTGGGCGTAGGGGAGGGGAATTTAACACCAGAATAGATTTTTTTTCAATAGTTAGGTCACCAGTAGTTCACGCATCCTAACGGGGTTGAAAGTGTAACTTTAAATTGAACTAGGCAAAAGGTGGAGGGGTGGTGTCATTGAAACGACGGAGCTATATTTCTAGTCGAAGAATATGGGGAAGCCGGCATTTCATTATTGTCATTCCTATTGAGTACAACCCTTTATTCTAGTTTAATGCACGACTAGGCTACTCATTACGAAATCTAATAAAATGTCGTTGTGCTACCATGCAAAAGTAGCGTAATATTTCTACTGAATGGGGTAGATATTTGACTTTGTTTATTTAAATGCAGATCCCATTTGCCTAAAAATATTTTGATACACATTTTAGTTATATCGTAAGGATTAATTTTATAATACAATGCATATATTCTTGCAGTCCTTCAAGTATTAGTAGTTATTGGACTATCCATAACTTGTATTTCAAAGATTTATAATGAGCGGGATGCACTCAATGTGTTTTAAGTGCTACATTCGGTAGCTGTTACTTTGTGCATGACAGTATCCCAATAGTTTTTCACTGTAAATATAAACTGAGCTTGATGAGATTCCCATCGCCAAGCAATCGTATGATGATACATTGATAGACCCAGCAAGCATCACTCAGTTCAATTCGACATCATGGCTGTACCCGTCCTTGATTATTTTCATTACTGCCTCGAAACGCCTAGTTCTTGGTTTTTAAAAAAAAAAAACGTCTCCCCCCCCCCTTCAGGCTTGTGCCGACGTCATCATAGACCAATACCACGGTGCATTTTTTTTCAACGAGTATAACACACCCCCCTCTCCCCCTCACAGCAAGCGCCAACAACAGTCACCCAAGGCCCAAGGCCAATAACACGCACCACGGTGGATTTTTTTTTACTGAGTATATACCCTACCCACCAGCCACCTTACAGCATACCGCTAGTCTTTACAAACTGGGTTAAAAGTTTAACTTTGAGTTCAAGAAGGGGAGAGGGTGGTATTGAAACAACGATGTTCTTAAATATGTTTAATAGTACAAGTACACAGTAAAAAATAATACTTATCTACTTCTATAGCATCATACATAATTTTATAAATTAGCAAATTAATTAACTAATTAATTAATTAAATCTAATATAATGAAGGGAGATTTTGGTTAATGCACGACACACAACACTATGCGTGCGTGGTATGTGGCCTGACTGACCGAAAGGAGATTGTTTATATTATTGTTTTGAGTTTATATTTAACTCAATGCAACGAGCCCGCAGGTTGGTTGAGGCCACGATGGGGGGACGATCTGTCCGGGATTTAAAGGGTCGATTCTAAATATTATCCAAATAGAAAAATGTTTCCTTGTTATGATTTATGTAGGCCTATGTGTTTTTAAACAATTGAATTAAAACTTTTCAGTAAGCCTAATAATTTATTAAATGAAGACTAGCGATGTTTCCAACAGATGCAACCATGCTCATTTACTATAGCAGCCATCTTGTTTATTTTTTTTATTGTAAACTTATAGCACAAGATTCAGGGGAAGCCACTCTAAGTTACAGATGGCGGCTTTTTATATAGCAAATCCTGCTCGCAAACACTGCTGTTTAAAGATAATTTCTTGCCTATATTGATATATTTAGCCATTGATTTAGGTTTATTATTCATTAATTTATAATATTTGACACAAATCTATCACAATATACTTCTATTAAAGCCTTGAAAATGAGGTAACTTTTTTGTACATTAATAGCCGTGGGCGATTTTACGTACCCAAAATGATAGATTACCTTTTTTCATAAAATCATAGTAAAATTCAGGGGAAGCCACTAAATTTTACAAATGTCTGCTGTTTATATAGCAAATCTTGCTCGCAAACACTGCTGTTTAAAATTAATTTCTGGCTCATATTGATATATTTAGCCATATATTTAAACCAACACAAACTCCAATCTACTGTAGCTACTAGGCACATAAACTCAAAAAATTGTTTTTTGCAAATACATCAACCGTATAATTGTCCCACATTGTTTTCCTTTTTTTTTTAACTTAAAAATCTTAAAGCTAGAGTTAGATCAACCATCCCTTTTTTTTTTTATAATTTCAAAATTTAATAACACTTACCCAGTCTCCATCTCAACTAACTTTAACAGTTAAGTAATCCAGCTTTGACTAGTGTATCTTATCAAATCCATCTGAAATTTTATTCACAGTGACCTAAAATAGATAAAATAAATAAAACATAAAACCTGATTTATAATCATGTTATAGCAGTAGTATAAATTTTTAAAATGTCTACTTATTTTGATTTAATTCAGCCCAATTTTTATTACAGAAGGATAAATACTAACATGGTGAAGGCAGGCTTTATTTAGTGACTGCTGCACACTTTATAGTACCTGTAAAATCTGAATGACAATGCCGGAAAGGAGATAATCTAATATATAAAGCTCAGTTCTGTATGTAATGCATTTGTATGTCCTTGGAATTGTACGAATTTAAGTGTTAGAAAATTATCGTGCGCATTTGTCTAAATTTATGAGCTAAAAAATTACTGTTGAAAGTGTTGGGAAATAATTTTCATTTTTCAAATTATAGTAATAATTGTCGGCATGTTCATTAAACACAAGTTTTAAAAAAAATATCATCTTTTACAAAAATTCTAATTATGTCTTTATTTAGTCCTATAGCACTTACTTCCCTTTGATAAATTAGGAAAAACACAATTACTTCCCTTTATAAAACCATTGCATTCCGTGAAAATAATTTACTTTTTAATTACTTTGTTTTGGTGTTGGGAAAAAAAATAATTACATAATTAGCGGGGATTGATCAAGTGCAAATGTTGTAGGTATTTTACGGATAAGCTTGGAGTATTAAAATTGTTTATTAAATTGAAACAGGCGCGTTCGTTTAAGTGAGTGCAAAAGACTGTGAATAAGTTGGGGTACTATAGTCGTTCATTAAGCTAAAACAGGTGATTCCGCCCCGGGCGTTTATGTTCGCGTTAGTGTTTTCTTTGTGTTTAGGTGGGTTTGCGTTAGTGGTTGCGTTTTAATTTGGTTCGTTTTTGTTCTTTCTTTTTTCGTTTTTGTTTGTGTTTTTTTTGTTTGGGTTTGTATTTGTGTTTTTGGTTGGTTTTGCGTTTGGATTTGGTTTGTTTTCGTTTGCTTTTTTCGTTGATATTTTTTTTTTTGGTATTGGTGTTTGTGGTTGGGTTTGTTGTTAGGTTTTTGTTTTCGTTTGCTTTTTTGTTTGTTTTTTCTTTGTGTTTGTATTGGTGTTTGTGGGTGTGGTTGTGTTTGTTGTTAAGTTTTTGTTTTCGTTTGTATTTGTAATTGTGTTAGCGTTATGTTCGCGTTTTGTTGTTTTGGTTTTGGTTGGTTGTGGTTTGGGTGGGCAATGCCGGGTTTATGATGATTACTAAACACACAGGTAATGGTCTTTAACAGAAAGGTTTTTCACAGAAGCCAGAGCAGGGCCTGGCCGGGACGGCTAGTTTATTATAAAGCCTATACAAATATTTAAAATTTTTAAAACCATTTGAATTTAAAATATTTAATCCTCAGTTCAATTATAAGAAGCAGGGCAGCATGGGAGAGGCAACTGGTGATTTAGATATACAGTCAGATGAATTAACAGCATTTTCATATTCTGAAGATGTGAAGCTAGAGCCATCTACAGTATTTTCATCTTCTGCTGACATAAAAACAGAATTATCAACACTTTTGACTTTCCATGATATAAAACCAAACATGGCATTGATAACTTCACAGGATTTTAAAACTGATGTTACGCCAGAGTTTTTATTTTCTAAAGAAACAAAAACAGAATATACATTTTCATCTTTTGATGATGTAAAACACAATATGACATTAGTAACTTCTCAAGATGTAGCAACAGGATTTTTACTTCATAAAGATATAGAGCCTGATGTATCAACAGTATGTACAAGATCTGAAGATATAAAATCAGAATTAGCAACGTTATCAACGAGCGAAGATATAAAATCAGAATTAGCAACGTTATCAACAAGCGAAGATATAAAATCAGAATTAGCAACGTTATCAACTAGTAAAGATATAAAATCAGAATTAGCAACGTTATCAACGAGCGAAGATATAAAATCAGAATTAGCAACGTTATCAACAAGCGAAGATATAAAATCAGAATTAGCAACGTTATCAACAAGCGAAGATATAAAATCAGAATTAGCAACGTTATCAAATAGTAAAGATATAAAATCAGAATTAGCAATGTTATCAACTCGTGAAAATATAAAACCAGATCTATTGACAAAATTTGTAGATTTTGAGGACAAACAACAAAATGGACTAGAGGAAGAGCTAAAACTTTCTGAAGAAAAAACACATCTGTCTGTTGATGGTCCTGAACAGTTTTTTCAAAGCTCTAACTTGAATAAACATAAACAAGCTCAAGTAGGGGAAAAGCCTCTTGAATGTGATGCTTGTCATAAAAGGTTTTCAGACAGTTCTAGTTTAAGTAAACATAAAAAAGTTCATTCTGGAGATAAGCCTCATGAATGTGATGTTTGTCATAAAAAGTTTTCCAACAGTTCTTCTCTAAGCAAACACAAAAAAATTCATTTAGTTGTTAAGCCTGATGAATGTGATGTTTGTCATAAAAAGTTTTCATACAGTTCTGCTCTAAGCAAACACAAAAAAAATCATTTAGTAAATAAGCACAATGAATGTGATGTATGTCATAAAAAGTTTTCCAACAGTTATACTCTAAGCAAACACAAAAAAATTCATTTAGTAGTTAAGCCTTATGAATGTGATGTTTGTCACAAAAGGTTTTCATACAGTTCTACTCTAAGCATACACAAAAAAATTCATTTAGGGGTTAAGCCTTATGAATGTGATCTTTGTCACAAAAGGTTTTCAGACAGTTCTCATTTTAATAGACACAAAAGAGCTCATTCAGGAGATAAACCACATGAATGTGATATTTGTCATAAAAAGTTTTCATACAGTTTTACTCTAAGCAAACACAAAAAAATTCATTTAGGGGTTAAAGCTTATGAATGTGATGTTTGTCATAAAAAGTTTTTACGCAGTTCAAGTTTTAATAGACACAAAAAAGTTCATTCAGGAGATAATCCAAATGAATGTGATGTTTGTCATAAAAAGTTTTTACGCAGTTCAAGTTTTAATAGACACAAAAAAGTTCATTCAGGAGATAATCCAAATGAGTGTGATGTTTGTCATAAAAAGTTTTCAAATAGTTCTGCTCTAAGCAGACACAAAAAAATTCATTTAGCTCATTCAGGAGATAAACCACATGAATGTGATATTTGTCATAAAAAGTTTTCATACAGTTTTACTCTAAGCGAACACAAAAAAATTCATTTAGGGGTTAAAGCTTATGAATGTGATGTTTGTCATAAAAAGTTTTTACGCAGTTCAAGTTTTAATAGACACAAAAAAATTCATTCAAGAGATAATCCAAATGAATGTGATGTTTGTCATAAAAAGTTTTTACGCAGTTCAAGTTTTAATAGGCACAAAAAAGTTCATTCAGGAGATAATCCAAATGAGTGTGATGTTTGTCATAAAAAGTTTTCATATAGTTCTGCTCTAAGCAAACACAAAAAAATTCATTTAGTGGTTAAGCCTTTTGAATGTGACCTTTGTCACAAAAGGTTTTCAGACAGTTCTTATTTTAATAGACACAAAAGACTTCATTTAAGAGATAATCCTAATGAATGTGATGTTTGTCATAAAAAGTTTTCATACAGTTCTGCTCTAAGCAAACACAAAAAAAATCATTTAGTAGTTAAGCCTTATGAATGTGATGTTTGTCATAAAAAGTTTTCATACAGTTCTACTCTAAGGAAACACAAAATAATTCATTTAGTAGTTAAGCCTTTTGAATGTGATCTTTGTCATAAAAAGTTTTCACACAGTTCTACTCTAAGTGTACACAAAAAAATTCATTTAGAGGTTAAGCCTTATGAATGTGATCTTTGTCACAAAAGGTTTTCAGACCGTTCTAATTTTATTAGACACAAAAGAGTTCATTCAGGAGATAATCCAAATGAATGTGATGTTTGTCATAAAAAGTTTTCATACAGTTCTGCTCTAAGCAAACACAAAAAAATTCATTTTGTAGTTAAAGCCTTATGATTGTTATGTTTGTCATAAAAGTTTTCAAATAGTTCTACTTTAACTGTAAGGAAACACAAAAAAAATTCATTTTGTAGTTAAAGCCTTATGAATGTGATCTTTGTCATAAAAAGTCATTACAGATTTCTAGCTTAAGTAAGCACACAAAAAAATCATACAGGAGAAAAATTCTATAAATCTGATGTTGCTCATGAAAATTTTACCTATAAGAGTAAGAGTGTATGAAGTTTTTTAAAATTCTTGAAGCACAAATAGAATAGACATTTTAATCTCCAATTCATTCATAATATGTTTATATTAATAATAGGATAGTATTTTTTTTATATATGCAAATACAGCTAAATTAATATTCATTGCATACATTTAAATGAAAAAAAAAATAATAGCAGACTATATTAATAAATTATAATAGTAAAATTACCCAATTTAGACCATCCTTGTGGCTGAACATTTATAGTTGATCTTTTTCTTTAATCTCAGTCTGAGAAGAGTAAGTGGGGCCATTCCCTAAAACAACTATCAGTTTCTGGTGCTTGACACTATCCCACTTTCTTTTCTATTTGCAAACAGTAGCACCCTATACAAGTTGCAAATTAAAAGGCATTAAAGACAAAAATATACTAAAGCTGTAATGGTTGTGTTTGACATTTTGGTATCCTATTTCTAACATAATTTATGCTTTGTTGTGTTTACATATTTTTATTTTTAAAAACACTTTAATGAAAATGTTACTGTAGTCAACTGGCATAAGATTGTAACATGAAATAAAAAAGAATGGTAACTAAATCTATCAATTTTTATTTAGTGTTTTACTACCAATGTCTGTATTCTAACATTAAAAACTCCAATAAGACCACTGTGTGTTGAATGCTGGGGTTTACTTGACCCTTATCTGATGATTTCATGCCTTAACATGCCAGTTAGTTGAGGTCAGTGTCTGACTACAAAGGCTTGCTTGGCATGTGATGTTAACATTTGACTTTTCTAACTGTTCAAATATTTTTCAGTAAAACTTTGTATTCAAATGCAAAAAGAAATGTAGTGTGTCTTTCTAATCAGGGGTAAAAACCATTTGTACTGACTTAAATCAATATATTCAATAGCATACTTTACACCACCTTGTCACATCCTACATTTAAAACAATTGTTGAAAATATGCACATGTATTAACAGAAATATGAGATATTTTTACTTTTCCTCATCCTATAGACAGAGGTTAAGTGCGGGGGGGGGGGGGGGGGGGGGGGTGCGTGCAGACCAAACCGGCTGACACAATGGCAAAACAATTTCATTATGTACTGAAGAATTTGCTCTTTGCCAGTTCCATTAATGGTTAATTAAAGTTAAATAGTCTTTTGAGTAAAAATCGACAATTATTACAAGAGAGTGGGGGTGAGACCATGACGTGCTAACAATAGAGAAAACAATGCTACACCCAACTGTATTATGGGACGGAGTGGTCTAGCTTTAGACAGCTGGACTTACTTTTTACGTTATAGATAAACATCGTTACTATTAAGTCTACAGTGATTAAAGCTTATACACCAGGGGTCGGCAACCTGCGGCTTTTTGATGTCAAGATGCGGCTCTTCAGCTCGATGCACAAATATAAATAACGAGCCGACCCGCTGCGTATCATACGCCGCTATTTAGTTGTTTTTTTTTCTACTTTTCAGTAATTTATAATTTGTGAATTCGACAGTACCAATGCTGCCACTGAAAATATTTGCTTAAAAACACTAACCCACCCCCACCCCCCCCCCCCCCCACGTGAAAGCAGCCTCCTCTTAGTTTCCTCCTCTAAGTTTAAAATCGTTTCAAACTAAATTATCTGCCCCTAATAGCCGTCACCAAACCCGTCTATATGATTGTAAAATGTAAACAGCGTGACCACAGCTCACCAGACAATGTGGGGGTGGGGGTGGTAGTGATAGAGAGAAAGAGAGGGGACTGCAAGGAGGCGCTTGCAGCTTGTTTTCTAACGGCTCCCAGAAGAGAATTATATATATTCTAGATTATTTTATTTTAAATTTAAAGCTCATAAAAGTATTAGTCTGCAACACTCAGTAATGAACGATATAATAACAAATTTAAACAGTAAACACTCGATATTCTATTAGAATATTTAGTGACTCGATATTTCAATGTAGACCTACTTCCTTGTTTCCTAAAACTGAGTTATTTAAATATAAAGAATACCTGTGTTTGGATGATATTTATCGGGGCACTAGCCCCAACCACCATGGCGTGCTGTGTGAAAGCCTTGAGTGTAAGTTAATAACTCACCGTAATATCACCGTTAATCACTCATCGACGGTAAGTGCCGCTCTCGTGAATCCGATAACACTACCGCCGGGGCGTCGCGTAGCCCCTAGCTCGGTTTAATTATCGAATGTCGTATTGTATGGTGCTCCTTAAAGGTAGGCGCTTAGTGCTCACGGGATAGTCCTGGGCGCCAAATTGCACCCTGCAGTGACGCCGGAGGACGCGCCTAATTCAATTTAGTGAGCGACTATAACAACCTATTGTATCCATAGCCTATCGCGCTGTTTAAAATGAACGTATTGTTGCCCATCGTGTCTATAGTGTACAGCCTTTAAAAAAAACCAATGTAGGCGCTATAGTGCGCGCAGGGTCGCCCAATGGACGAGGCGCCGGCGGTTGCGTCTGTTGCAGTTTTGCCGCTGAATATAGTAGTACCCCTTACCCGCTATATAGAACGCCCGACGAATGCCAAGTACTAACATAGCCGCTCTGGAACTCTGGGCGCCAAAACGTGTATTGACAAAAAATGCACCACCCGGGCTCCGCCCATAAGAAATTTTAATTTGTTTGTCGCAGCAATCTTCTCGGGAGTATTTTAATCTACTCTCCAAAGTTTCATGGAACTCGGATAAACTGTGAGGAACCGCATACAACCGTTTTTTTTACCGTATATAGAGAAAAATCGCACATCTACCCCCCTGGGGCGCCGCCCTTGCGAAATTTAAAAAAAAAATTTCACAAACGACCCTAGAAGTATTCTCAACAATTGTCCAAGTTTCATCTGATGAAAGGTGTAGTAATACATAAAGAAAAACAGACACACACACAAACACACATACATTGTTTTATGTATATATATATATATATATATATATTAGCTCCCTAATAAAACTCAATAGCATTATCTAATCAATAGTAATATAACTTTTACATATTATATTAACAATGACCGATAAAAAACTTTTACTTCGGCGCCCCACGTTTTTCATCGCTTATAGTAGAGTGATCGCTTGCATTATTGTGATGTATAGCATTTATTTTCTACTTTTTAGTTCAATCAGAAAACGTGGGTTTTTTTTAACTTTTTTAATGATAATTACTTTCTACTTTTTAGTCTTTGTCTGTTTGTTTGCATTCAAATCTTGCTATCGATTTTATCTTCTCGCATTCACTTTTTTTTTGGGTAGACGAAGACAACTCGTAAAAAACACGTGCCTTTTCCAATCGACGTTTCTTCTGTGTTGCCGTTTCTTTCACCATTTTGTCCTCGCATGCAAACCATTCGACCATCACCATTCTACTTCCTTTGTACACAAACACCGCGTGACCACTACTCAGCCAATCGCGTGCTTGCTCCCCCATACTGGCCACCAGTTGGTACGTTCCGGTTGTTTGTACACAAACACCGCGTGACCACTACTCAGTAAGGCAAAAGAGGGAGAGTACCGAACCTTGTGTTCATCAAATTTCAATTACTATGTTATGTCCCTTTTTTGTACAAATATATAGGGGTCTAAAATGATCAATAATTTTTTTCCATGGATCAATTTAGTAATACTAACAATTGAATATTCTATTGTCATCGGAAACAAAGCTTCCCTGAAAATTTCAGCGCGCTAGCTAACTGGGAAGTGCCCGAAATTTCGATCGCAAGGTTTGATTGGAAAACCAAACAAACAGACGCGAAAGCAAGTTAAAGAAAACGTGGGAAAAATATAACTATTTCAGAACATGAACAAAATATAGAGTAATTTTAATGTTGAACTAATAGAAAAATACTATTTGACTGGTGCAACTTCCTAACTTATGTGAATTACTTGCAATGCTTTAATTTTAGAATAATCAAAAACATTGAAAAGTACATCGTAAAAGCTTAACATAACGTTTGAAATCTGAAAAAGTGCATTAACAAATATATGAGTAAAATTAGAAACAATATTTAAAATTACAGCAAAAATGCCAATTGTTTCCCCTTCAATAAATAAACCAGGAAATAAATTATCTCAGTAAACAGCACACATTTACACCAGTAGCGTAGCGAGGGGGGGGGGCGGACATATGTCCTCGGGCGCCGACCTTAGGGGGCGCCAAAATGGGTCGGAAAAATAAATTGAAAGGTTGTCAAAATCTCCTATGTGCTTGAGCTTTCTCACCATGTAATATACTAATTTAATAACATGGCTCCGTAGACTAATTGGGTGATCGCGTATTGGAAAATCCAAGCACAAAGCCTGGGTCTTTAGTTGAGAAGAACCATGAGATGCTGCCCATGTATCATCGCACCCTCTCTCCGCACAGCTGAGGTGTCCAAGGGACAGGGCTTGGAATCAGCAAAAAGGAAACCAGAGTTTATAATTTTATCGCCTAAGGGATTCCACTCCTGCTTGACTTCGGTGTTTTCTATCTTAGATAGGTTGCTGTCTTCATCTGACGTACCTCATCTGCCCGTGGGTTCGAACTCGGAAGTTAAGGGTTAGCAGTGTTTCTTCCAGACTTTTTTCTCCGGGGGGGGGGCACTTGAAATTTTCGGGGGCGCGGTAGACTTTCTTGGGGGGGGGGCGGACACCGTTAAAAGTATATATCTTCTATATAAATTATATAAATTTCATTTCGTTCCGGGGAGGGGGGGGGGGCAATAGAATTTTTTCGGGTGGGGGGGGGGGGGGGAGGCAAAGCCCCCCCCCCCCCCCCCCCCCCCCCCCCGAAGAGATGCCTGGAAGAAACTCTGAGGGTTAGCAACCATGAGCTTACCCGCCCGACCACTCTCTATCTCTGTCTATAGAAAAACTTATTTAAAATTTTCCTTCTTGTGCCATATCTTTTATCATCAGTGCGCTGTCGTGTGCTCCTATACAGATTCAGTAGCTTGGGTTACACGAACTTGTTTTATGTTTACATTTACATTCGCGTTTACTGCGGGTACAGAATCCAACTCCATCAAATGAAATACAACGCCTATGTTGTATGACCACCACTTTCTCGTATACGAGGTATAGAGGAAGTTTAAGTTAAAATGCGAATTAATAAAAGGTAATAGTTAGGCCCTATACTTATTTTTATTTTTAATTGGCAGAAGAGTACTGAAGAGTATCCAAAAACTTTCTTAATCATCTTCGAGCAACAAGACAGAGATCGAATAGATTCTACTTTGAGGTATACTATAGACTATAGATAGATCTAGATCTAAGTGATTAAGTGGATCTGATTCTAGAAATCTAGATCTAAAAACTAAGCTCATTTACTCCAGCCGTCTTTAGTACGTAAATTAAAAATCGCCCGCGAATAGATCTACTAGAATCCTAGATTCTAGATCTACTCTAGTTAACTCTCTAACTCCTCTACACTGACTCTAGTAATGTGAAAAACAGGTGACTCCTTAGGCCTAAATATTTTAATAATTATTTCACATTTTGAGAAGGATTTATGTTTTGAAAAATACAAAAATGTTTCCTTGTTTCATTTATGTATCTGTTTTTAAACAATTGAATTAAAATTTTTCAGTAGGCCTAGGCCTAATAATTTAATAAATGAAGACTAGCAATGTTTCCAACAGATGCAACCATGCTCATTTACTATAGCAGCCATCTTGTTTATTTTTTTTTATTGTAAACTTATTCCCGCAAGATTCAGGGGAAGCCACTCTAACTTACAAATGAAAA